TTTTAAATGGCCCAATCCATATTTTTTCATAAGTTAGTTTCTCAAATAGCACCCTGGTAGGAACAAAAACTTTTTAAAACCGGTGCATTGTTTGCAACATTTCGACTTCAAAATTTTCAAAATCCGTTAAAAAATAAGCTCACAGGAAGGAAAAACCAGATAAGTAAATAGATTTTGATGAAAGCTGAACAGAACCCAAAAAGTTAGATTCAAAAATAGTGTTTCTGATACTGTAGATACAATGTATGGAGTGCCGCAAGGAACTGTACTGGGGCCTCTATTATTCCTATTGTATATTAATGACACAGTTAAGGTAATTAACGATAGTAAAATAGAATCATTCGCAGATTTGAACCTAATATATGAATGGTTATGTAAACATAAACTTAACACGTCAAAGTCTAAATTTTGTATTTTTGGGAAAAAACAAAAATTGTGTAAAATTAAGTACCTTGAAGTCAAGTTAGATTCAGAACTAACCCTACGGCCGCATGCTGATTATGTAATGAGAAATTTTTCTCAAAAAGTAGGATTTATATGTAGAATAGGCCATAGTCTTTCCATGTACACCAAATACCTCATCTCAAATTTTGCTCCGCACTCCTGTAAACCTAATGTCAAATGTTGTTAGTGTCATGACGGTTAAACAAGGAATTATTTATGACCCAAATATTGTTATGTACAAGTTAAGAAATAAACTATTACCTGATTACATCTGTGATAAAGTAATATATTATAACAGCGTGCATTTTTAATTTGCATAACATTGTGATGAGAGGAACCGTCTTGCTGATATATTTAGTGCTCTAATAGTTGCAAATAACGATCTCCAGCTAACTTATGATCTATAAATATCGGACCAAAAATATGCCCACCTATGACACCACACCATACATTCATTGATTGGGACCCCTAGGTTTTTATTTCGTGTATTTGTCTGGGATTATTTGGAGACCAATATCGCGTATTTTGTCTATTACAACCCTTTCTTGTAGTGAACGAACTTTCTTCACTCTGTAAAATGTTTTTCAAAAAGTTATTATTCTCAACTGGTCCCCCTGTGACATTGTTCTGCACTTATATTTATATTCTTTCAAAACTGAGTGGATTGGTCCACTCTAGTTGTAGAGGAAACTGGATGTGCTTCATAGAATCCTAACATTATGATTCCGGCATACATTTTTAACATTTAATACGTTACCGTTTTTTGCAAATTCCTTTGCAGACCTTAGAAATATCGGAGCTTGGCGCTCTGGCTAAAGTCTAATATACTGACGAGGAGCTGCTGCTGCACTTTTATTATTCAGAAAGTATACTTCAAGCATATCACTCCTTTCATTCATGCTAAATTCGCGAGAAACCATTTTAGCAATAATGACTTGGACAATAATTCATCCATCAAATACATATGTTTACTAATATGCTAAACATAAACATATTTTTATTTGTCACTAGGGGCACTCTTTGAAATTCTATAAAAACTTCCTATTTTTGCGGATTTGTCAAACATCATTGTAATAGGAATAAAAATTACAAAAAAATCAGCAACATTAATTTTAATGAATAAATAAATATTTTTTGATAGAACGACGTATATGCGTTAATAGTTTTTTTTAAACCTTAATTAAACCAAAAACAAATTACTTTTACAAAATAAACATGGAAAATTGAAAAAAAAATCTACGGCTAAAATTTTTATATTTAGGCGACGTGACAAACACGTTCCCAAATTTAATTAATTGCTTCGTCTTCGCATATTTGGAAAACAATCTCATTAAACCTAGTGAGTGTAACTTCCGAGTTTTAATGCGCCCGGAAAAAGATTACGGGCGACTTCCCTGTTTGCCGTTTTAAAATATTCACCCTCCTACCCCCTCGAGAAGTGCCCCGATGGGACCGCCGCACGAAAAAACATCCCGCCGAATTCAAAAGTCAATTTTCTTCCAGTTTCATTCTACGCCTTATTTTTGTTTTTTTCGTTTTTATTTTTACGTTGATCGCGCTCCGTGGAACAGGTAATGCGTTAAGTCGAATTAAGGAAATTTGTTTTTTACCTTAGAACAATTTTAAAACGAGACATATTATTAAAATCCTTTACCAAACGGACGATCATTACGTTCGCGGCACATTTTCAAAATTTGAAATATTCAAAATTGAATACGAAGTGGAAACTTGACGGGGTTAAAACTAAACAAGATTGCTTTCGAAAAATCGGGCAAGTTCGTAGGGCCTAGCGCGAAACGGCTTTATATTATAAAAAGAATTAACCACACGCGGTTTCGTGTGTATAAAATGTCCGTCGAACTTCAAAGTTGCAGCAAACATCGGTAAATATTTAAATTTTGGACAAATAATAGAGTTGTCGAATGATATTTCTTCGCGCCCTGTATAATTGACGAAACCTGAAACTCTCTCGCGACACAGTTTACGATACAGTAAAATTATCCCATCTTTAACGGTTTTACATTTATCGCCAATAATTTACCAACAAAAAGGGAAATTTTTGAGATTTTTTGCCCATAAACGACACACCCTGTATATCATTTAGACAATGTTCAGGTTATAGCCCTGGGCCTTCCAGGTTTCCTGGTACAAGAATTTCTTGAAAATCGTAAATGGTTTTAGAGAGAATGAGTTTTTTCTGAAACCATGCAGTTCGCCGTAATAACAAATCGCGATATATGGATATGGATTTTTTCAAATATCCCTAGCAGCGTATGTGATAGACAAAAACCGTAAATACAAAAATTGTAGCTATTGATGCGGCCTATTAGCCATATTTTTTACGATTTTTGAGTTTCGGCTAATAATTTACTGTGTAAAAGAGCAATTTTCTACGTCTTTTAGATTTTTGGCTATAATTTGAAAACCCTGTATACAATCGAAAAAATGCCTAAAATAAATGTTATTGCACTGGATCTTCCGCGTCTACTGGTTCAAGAATTTTGGCGATCGGGTGAACGATTATGGAGGAAAACAAAGAAAAAAGAAATTCAAAAATTATTAAAACATACTTGGTAAAATTTGATTGCACCCAATCTCTACCGTTTCAAGGTGGACACGGACTTTTACTTCTCTGCTAAATTTGAAGGTGATATCTGGAAATTTAGGATACTAAACATATTTCTCATATACTTTCGAAAATCGATGAAATCGAACTTTTCGAAATTTTATTTTGTCTGTCCGTTCTCCGTTCTCGTCTTTTGGTTTTTCCTGAATAACTTTCGAATTGAGCTACAAAATTGTAATTTGCCACCTTTTTAACCCTCCATGAGATACATAAGCTTGTAAGAAATGGCCTCGATCCGAAAGCTCCATCCATCTTTTTTTCGCGATTTTCGACTGCTTTTTGGACATTGCTATGAAACACGATAAGTGTCGGAAATTTGAAGCAATCGACTTCATATTTGGCAAGTATATGCAGCTTTGCCCCTTGACGGAACCTATTGAAAATGGGAGGGCTGGTGGGTCGGGAAGTATTTTAAAAAAATTAAAAATTGCGTGTGCAAGGGTCTACAAAAAAGACTATTTTTCAAAAACCGTTTACAATGCCGAAAAAACTCTTAAACCAGAAGACGCAGAGGATACGGCTCCATAAACTTTTATTCTTGACAATTTTTCAAAAATATACAGGGTGCGCCACAAGTTAAAAAAAAATGAAAAATGGGTCCCTCTATTTTTGAAAATTGGTAATAATTTGAAATCTGTTTTAGATGTCAGTTTCTTTTACATGACGATATAGCTCGTATGGACAGCTAAAACATTTGTATTTTAGTTTTTTTAATATTTTGCAATATTAAAAAACGTAACAAGTGCCTCGAATTTGCAGCTGCCGACTTCAGACTTGGGAGAGAAGTAGAAGCCCGGACCAGCATTTAGACCCTTTAAATTAAATGACGCAATGTATTTTTTTTTAATTTTTTATTTTTTTTTTATTATCTTGGCTTCCAGAAAAACATCTTTTCCTCCAAAACGTGGGAGATCTGGCGCTATAGCTTTTGTTTCACGCATTTTTTTGATTATATACAAGGTGTTTTAGTTATTAGTAAAAATCCAGAGTAAATTATTAATTGTAAATCAAAATTCTTACAAAATAGCTAATCCCTTCAAACACTGTTATAGGCCGCATCAACGCTGCTCGAGATATTTGAAAAAATCCATTTGAAACTCGCAATATCTCAGACTTATTCTAGACGCGATGATGTCATTACGGTGTACTGCATGATTTCAGAAAAGAGGTATTTTCTGGAAAACTACATATCCCATTGAAAAAATTCATATACCGGGAAGCGTGGGAGATCTAGGGCTATCACTTTTACTTGCGGCATTTTTGGATTATGTACAGAGTGTGTCGATTATTTGCAAAGAAAAAAACAAAGAGACCCTCAAAAAATTGCCGTTTTTGTGGGTGAATTATTAGCCGTAGATGAAAAACTATAAAACATAATTTGGCTTAAACAGTGTCCAAAGAGAGTTTCAAGTTTCGTTTATCGTAGAGGATGCGCCAGATTTGTAAAAACTTTCGGATTTACCAAAGTTAGCCGTAACTTTGAAGTTCGTCGAGATGTGAAAGACACTTCGTCCAGGGTGCATCCACAATTAAATTACATTGATTTTGCGAAAGTTCCAACAATGCGTCCTTCTAGGACAAGAAACCTCCCCGCCCCCAATGTCGAAAGCAATCTTGTTTTGAAACGCCTAGTATAAAAAAATATTAACATAAAACATATAAAACCTCAGCAAACTGATCTCGAATGTAACGTAAATTTCCCAAAAATCAGGTTTCCTATCAAAAAAATTTAATGCATTTACATGAAAAAAAGTTTCTACGGCACCTACATGTTAGCTTCATTTTGTTCTCTAATATTTAACAAGATATTTCTAAAAAATAAACGAAATTAACTACAAATACCGAAGTAATTTTTAAAGTCGGCCCCACACCTCCACGAAAGTCGTCCGAAGACACGCCGCAAGCACAACACAACTTCCAACGAACTTACCTTTATTCGAAGTTGGCGAGCCAGCAGCGAACTGTTCGAAAGTGCACCTAGCGGGCCGATAACATTAGCGACTAGTTGAAACGCTTGTTTAACAGAACATGCGCCCGGATCTATTGGCAACTCCCGCCGAAGAAGTTGCGTTTTTCAACTTCTTGTCGACTCGCGACGAAACGGTTGCCCGTAAAAATGGGGGGGGAAGGACCTCTCAACGATCCAACATGTTGTCGATAGGTTTCTTCATAATTAGTCTTATATAAAACAAGGCATTATAAAATAACCACAATAAAACAAAAATCAAAATAAATAAGAACTAAAAGTTAAGATTTTCACGAAATTATATAATAATACAGGCGAAAGCCCCGTCCTCTCTCTATCTTAAAAAAATTCGGCGCCCCTCCCGGTCCCATAGGGCGGAAGGGAGCATTTTTCAAAAGGGACGCCGCCGAAAAATTTTCAAAATTTTTTTTTGAGGGGGAGGAGGGGAGAGGTGGGGTACTTCCTCCCCCGACCTTCTACAGAACATTACCGAGTTAGGTCCCGATCGGCCCGACGGTCTCGGAGATAACAAACTTTTTGACTTTTGACCTCCTCAAAACCTCAAATAAAAAATTCGCCAATTTTCGATCTCAGGCTCGATGCGTGCTCTGAGTATAGGACTTTCGGGCCGTCCGGGTCGGGTGCGCCCCCGACCTCAAATACTCAAAAATACGCTGCTACCTCAATATTGAGGAAATTTTGAAATAATAATAATATAATTATATGTAAATGATAAAGACACGGTGTTGTCGAAACAATTGTCACGTCATAATATATAATTTCGTGAAAATCTGAACTTTTAGTTCTTATTTATTTTGATAAATGGATTTTTATCAAGTAAAAGTCACCTAGTTCAATTTTTAAAACAAAAATAATGATATTTCGGCAACCAAAATATTTGATTTATTGCTCTTTGAGACACCCATAATAGAATTACAACAGAAGTACATAACAATACGCAAAGCCTTGGTCAACGACTAGAAGATATAGAAAAAAATAAAATAAATAAAACAACGAATTTTCCGCGTCTATATACCGGATTATTCATTATATTTTGACACCCACCTACAGGGTTCATTTCTAACACACTCTTGACTGGAACCTTCGGCACTGCACTAACACACAATAACGCGTTTTACCACAAACCGAAACTCAATTTTGCGTACTTCACGAGCGTTTCGCCAACCAAGTTGGCATCTTCAGGAGAAGATTAAAACTGTTTTAATATTCTCCTGAAGATGCCAACTTGTTATTGTGTGTTCTTTGAGTCTAGTTGATATTTTTCTTCCGGTCTCTCCAATGTATTCTTTGCATGGAATGCTGTAAACTCCTGACATCTGAAATGGAATCTTGTCTTTCACGGACCGAAGATGAAAAGAGATATTTGCACAAGTTTGATGTTATACTTCTTTAGAACAGTTGATATGTGGTCAGTGATGTTTTGAATGCAGTTAAAGACCACAGTGACAAGTGTAGGATTGCTTTCGGTCTCATTGCCATTGGAAGGTTGTGGTGAAGTGTATTTTTTGATGAAACTTTTAATATCTTTAATGTACACAAAAAAAGATCTCGTTCATTAAGCTAATATATATTAAATTAAAACAAGGATAATAGAGCAAAAATCTTCAAATTATTGTATTTTTTTTCTATCGTTCAAAATTAACCCTGTAGATGGGTGTCATAATATAATGAATAACCCTGAACAAGATTATTGGATTTTCGGCGTTACCGAATTTTAAATTGTACTTGAATTTTTTACTTCTTTTTTTTTACTTGACTCAATTTATCACTTTTATTTATTATTCTCTTTTTCATGTACCTTTTGAATACTAATAATAAATATACAAATAACACACACAAACAAAATAATATTATTAATTAATTATTATTACTTTTTAAAAAATGTTGATGGTGAAATAGCAATAATAGTAATTGCAGAACTAGAAAATCAAAAAAAAATCTAAAAAACAGGATGACCCAGAATTTCTTTAATCTTTCTTGAATATTCTTCATTCGAAAAGAATAGTAAAGTTTTTGTTTTTAACCTTAATTAACCACAAAAACCATTGTTTTGAGTTTGAGGGAACATTTGTTTTTATTTTTAATGAATGAAGGTTATGGATCTTTTGTAAAGGAATTGTTTCTTTTTTTTTATAATTGATAATTGAAAAAATTAAATAAAAGATAATATAATAAACTTAAATGATTGGTATCCAGAGCTTCTTTTTGCCTCTCTTAAACGCTGTATGATATGTCTATTTTTTTCATCATTGGTAATAAAAATAAAATAGACTATAATAAGATGATAGAACAAAAAGTTCTGGGAAACTACGAACTTTGTTGGAAGAGGCTAATGAAAAAATTCTAGTTGCTCTTTTTTTCTTTTCCTTTTTTTAATAAAATATAAAAATAAAAAAATGGAATAAAATAGTAAACAAAATTACGTCCTTAGTTGTGACGTTACTTAAAATAAAAATAACTTTTAAAGAAGCTTTTCTTTTTACCTTTCTTTGTTTCTTGACAGTGGTTTGCACTGGTATAACGTTTAAAGCTAAACACAAGGTTAATTACAATAAAAAACAAAAAAAAGGCTGCATTTCCGTCGAAAAATATAAATATGAGAAAAATTAACATGAAAAATTAATAAATTTAACAAAAAAGGCTACTATGAGCAGAAAAATAATCAAAATAAAACTGCTTGGTCTATTGTGTCTGAGATAAATGGAATGAATAAACGACCAAAGAATTTTCGAGATTAAGATAAAGGTTAATATTATTAAGGAACCGGTAGCATTAGCCAATTTTATGAACAACTTTTTTATGGAAAACCCTAATAAAATAGTTGACAAAATGAAGAAGTCACTTAACATGCACAAAAATTCATTTCTAGATATAATTGGAAGCTTCCATTAGACCCTTCTCTCAAGAGAAAATATCGAACTTATAAAATAAACAACAAAAATTCTTGTGTCCCTGCTAGTGTGCCTTTTGCAATATTCGAAAAGTGTGCCGACTATATCCTGAGTCCATTGACCTCTCTGATAAATGCATCATTAACAGAGGAAGGTTTTCCTACAGCCCTGAAAGTTTCGCGTGTGGCTCCCATCTTTAAAAAGGGCGAAAGGCATTCTGCAGAAAATTGTCGTCCAATAGCAATCACATAATGCTTTGCTAAAATAATTGAATACGCCATGCTTGACCGCTTGACCGATTATTTAAGTAAAAATAATATTTTCAGAACAGGTAGATCAACCCAAACAGCAATCCATTCATTTTTGAAGCATGCTATCAACTATATTGAGTCTGGAGAGCACCCTGTTGAGATATTTTGTGATCTTACCAGGGCGTTTGACTGTATGAAGCACAAAATTCTTTTGAATAGGATGGAACAATACGGAATTTGTGGAATAGCTCTGAACTGGTTCAGATCGTTCTTAACCAATAGTCGGTAGTATATTGAAATAAGGCATGAGAGGGGCAACTTGTATCAAATTGAAAAATCTCAAGTCCAATCTGTAGATACAGGCGTACCGCAAGGTACAGTGCTTGACCCTGTTTTATTTATCCGTTTAATCAATGAACTTTCTGCTCACCTTCCTAGTTCTGGTCAATCAGAGTTCGCTGACGACTGTTATCTACTGCTAAATATATGGTTTAAGACCAATGAACTCTTTTTGAAGGTCCAAAAAACAAGCGGACTGATATTCAAATACCCACAAAACAAAGAAAGATCTCTCTGTGAATGTCTGGTCGAGCGGGGAGGCTGTTGAAATAAAAAAGCACGCTAAATTTTTAGGACTTAGGCTCGAGAAAATCCTATCTTGGGAAACTCAATGCCAATTACTTTCTTCAAAGCTCCATAGTTATTGTTTCCTAACAAAAAAATTAAAAAATGTTTTGACTGGACTATTCGAGACTACACTAAGGTGTTCCCTTTCCGGGAAATTCAAGTTATGCGACATCAGTTTCCAAATCCCAAAAAAAAAAAATCCTAAGGTGCATTGCTGCAGTGTCGTCGGATAGTCCCCTCTTCCGGGAGTTTAAAATACTGCCTTTAGCGTGTATATACATACATATTAGAAGTTTGTTTATGGGAACATAAAAATAAAAATACCTTACAAAAAAACGGAGATTTTCGCGACTATAATAAACATAACAAAGATTGTTTCTCCATAAAAAAAATAGACTAGAATTAAAAAATATATTTTACGAACACCGGTATTAGCAAACTTCTGGCTTCCTCCTGCGTCGGTTTTTGCTTAGTCGAAATTACTGACGTTTCGCCAATCATCCTGTTGGCGTCTTCAGAACTTGACTGAGACTGGCTCGTATTTTACTCTGTACTTGCTTATGTATTGTTTGTTTATAATAACAATTCTTAAATGTTCCTATCACTAGAAAATCAGACCTAACATTGGGTCATTGTGTTTACAGAAAACCTACGCACACAGACCGATACCTTAATACATGGTTACATTACCATTCAGCCCAAAAATCATCGGTGATCAACTCTCTTGTTTACCGAGCCATAAAACTAGGTACCTCAGTCCGAGTCACTGAAAACAGAATTAAAACACCTTACCTCTGCTGTTCTCTCTAATAATTTCCACATTATAGATATTAAGCGTTCCATCAAAAAATTTACTTCAACACAACCTTCCAAAAGTAAAGAGCCCGAAAGCAATCCTACACTTGCCACTGTGGTCCTTCCTTACATTCTAAACATCACTAACCACATATCAAAAGTTCTAAAGAAGTATAACGTCAAAACCAGATTAACCACTTGTCCAAAAATCTCTCAGCATCTTCGGTCCGTCAAAGACAAAATTCCCAGGAGTTTAGAGCATTTCATGCATATGCGGCAAAGAATACATTGGAGACAACGGACGAAAAATATCAATTAGGCTGAAAGAACACGAAAGAGCCTTACGACTAAGACAAATAAACTCATCAGCTGTTGCCGAACACACTCATGAAACCGGACATAAAATTTTATTCGATAAAACTAACATTCTTGCATGTAATAAGTTCTTCTACCAACAAAAAATCCAGGAGTCCATAGAAATCGATAAACAACCTAACAATCTTAA